TGCTTTGGGAGCTACCTAAATGTAATGATGAGATAAAATGAAACTTTGATAATGTGGAAAATTGGAGGCAGGATCACAGTTTTTTCGTTTTAGCGACATGATAGAGGCAAGTGTGACACAAAAGTATGATGATAGCTTTCTGCATCAACTTGTAATTTCTCTAAAAGATGAGGGTTTTCTGACTCTGACGTTGGTGTAAAGCGTGTTCGTATGACATGTGATTTCAGTGACATTAAAAAGCCACAAATAGATGAACCACAGCTGTTTTGTCATTAACCTCTTGTGCTCATCTTGTTGTTGAAATTCACATTTAGTGGACTCGCATTACACCTGATTAGTTCCCCCGTGCACTTATTTTGTCTAATTTGATGATGTTTGCTCTTGTCATGTATACATGTGTGTGTTTACATATGCATATGTATGCATGTGCACATGTGTGCATGCACATGTGTAAGTGTGCAGCATGCACATGTCTCTCCTCCTTGACGTCGTCTGTGCTCCCCACCAGGCAGCTCTTGGCCTCCTCCTTTCATTGCTAAGAAACCATCCATTCTGTGTGAGTAATCAGAGCTGTGCCTCCAGGAGCCCAGCCAAGCCTCTCATCCTTGGGCTGCTCAAGAGCTGCTTTAATTAACCATCATACCACAGATGGGATCAATTTTTCCCCCCACCCCCTCTTTCTTTCTCGCTCTCTCTATGCCTCTCTCTCTCTCTCTCTCTCTCTCCCTCTCTGCCTTCTATCTCTGCAGCTTCTTTCCTGCACCCTTCTCTCCCATACACAAGCCTCATAATTGCACTGGAACAGTGCCAGCCGCCAGTCGGGCCCCAGACTGCAGGCCTCTCCTCTCCCTCTGTTCTCCTCCTCAGCCCCTGGCCTCACCTGCTCAATACCTTATTAGTGTCAGGATCTGGAGAGAGCCATCGCGGATTAACTAAAGAGATGTGAGATTGATTTCTGCCCCTGCAGATAGAATTGAAGTTTTCTTGTGTGTGAGTGTGTGTGTGTGTGAATGTGTGTGCGTACAAATGCATGTACGTGCTTGTGTGTGTGTCGGTGTGTGTGTGAAGAAGGGACACAGGCTGCAAAAGAAAAGTACGAAGGATGCTTCAGAAGAAAAAGAAAGAGTGTCGACTTTTTGTCTCCTGCGTGGCACATACTGTACACCTGCACATGCATGTTGTGTGTTTCTATCCTGAGATTTTGAAATGCAGGTTTGCTAATTTGCTATTTCAAGACCCACTTGAGCCTCTGCCTCTCTCTCAACAAATTAATCCCCCCTCTGGCTTCACCTTCATTGGTTTTCATGTGGTGTGATGGAGAAACTAGAGAGACCCCGCGTGTCCGCACACACATGAGGAAACATAAATGCACACCCACCTTCACCTACAAATCTGTAAGTCCAATTTCAGATTCTAATCTGCCGCTGTAATAGCCCAGAGAAATGACCTGCTCTTTGACATGCGTTCACAAAATAGCGCCCTATTGATTATTCATGACTCGGGCACGGCTATATGTGTGTCAACGAGGTCTCAGAGGCAGCCAGTTGGGCAGAGATTAACATCTATTTCAGAGATAGGTGAATTTGCGGTGGAGGAGAGGCGGAGGGGGAGTTGTAGGTGGGATGTGTGTGTGTGTGTGTGTGAGTGTGAGTGAGGGGTGGAGGGTTGTCTCCTCAGGATTGTGCTGTAATCACAGGCCTCCGTCTGCATGGCACATCTCAAGAGTGGTGTCAGCTGGGCTCTCTTCTGTTTGCTAATAGCGGGGGGTCAGGCCTCTCTCACAAAGAGGTGCGTTTGATCCCCAGGTACGGGGCACGCAGGGAGAGAGGTGACACGGCTGAATACTAACAGGGCGAGCTACACGGCTGCTTATCTTTCATTTGATGTGTGTGTGTGTTTGACATCCTGATAGGGTTTGTTTTCAGTGGATAACTGTTTGCTAAGAGGGATTAAAACTTAAGAAATAAACTATTTTGTGTCTCAAGGTTTAAAATTTTAATTATACCCTCGAAAACTTCAGTGAAGATTAACTAAAAAAAGGCACGCCGCAGATAAACGAGGCCGCTCTAACTAGACTTGAGCACCAAAAAGAAACTTTTTCGAACAAATCCACCCTGGTCTTGTTGACGTGTGATGGCAGGTGCATTGCCTTTTGTGTGTTACAGCTGCTGAATTGTAGTGTGCTGTTTGTGCGTTTGTATAACAGCCATTGTGGTAGCGGTTGTGTAGCGGTTCATGGGTCCCAGGGCCCAGCTGCCAGAGTGAGGCAGAAGAGTCAGACATCATTGTGGTGTGATTTCCTCCTCTCCTTGCAGATGGAGTGTTTTTGTCAGAGCGAGGGCCACTGTGATTGCCTCTTCGCCGACGGTGTCAGCCCAGGATAATACTGCAGCCGTCCCCCCCAGGAACAAAACAGGATCAGCGCAATCCATTTTCTTTTTCTCTGCCAAAATGGAATAATTTCACAGAGACAATCCCTGGTAGTCTCCAAAGCCCAGCGAAAATCAAAAGACAACCATTATGGCGAAAAAATCGTGAAAGAGGTGTTCCACCTTTTCCCCCCTTGGCTCTGCCAAATACTACACCCAGCTCTAACCAACAAGCCTCGGATAGACAATGAAAGTGGATTGAAGCAAAGCTAGCAATCTGACAAAACAGAACACTAAAGCGACACATGAAAGATGCATGCACACAGACTGCAGATGAAGAAACATCACAAAGACTCTCCAGCTTGGCTTCTCCTCACACACTCAGATCTTTACATCGAAAAATATGGTGCCTCTATGAGTCCATACATCTGCAGCAATCCCAGTTCTATGGCAACCTGCCCTTTACAATCCTAATGACACTTCAGCAGAGTGTGGCTGCTGAGAGAGGGCGGGAGAAGGGAGGCTTTCCCTCAGAAAGAGCTGAGAGCATCTTATTGGGGAAAAGGGGCTAAGAGTGTTGTTGTGATGCCTGACTCCATATTCTTGGGTCATAGATATTCAAGAAGTGCGCCGCCCTTTCCGTTCTCTTTTTTTTCCCAGTCGCTATACAACGCCAAAAAGGTAGATCCTATAGCAAGACACCTGTGAGAGAAGATCAGTGTGATGGGTCTTGAGCTTAATGACCCCACGTCTTTGAAGAACTCATTATAGGGATTGTTCCGGTTCTCAGGCGGAGGAAAAGGCGGTCTGGCATAAAGGTGAAGTGGGGAAACTTTTCAGAGATTTAACACTTTTTTGTTTTTGATACAGGACATTTTTAAGTGGCTAAAGCATGTGTACCTTGTGAACAGCTGTACCTATCTTAGCTCATGAGTTGCTACTTCACCCGTCTTTGAAGTACCTCATACAACCCCACTTCAAAAAAAACCCCAGACTATTCCTTTAAGGGTGTACCAGAACTCAACTTAGATTGATTAATTTATCTAAAAGTGGGCAAAATTGATCATTTCTGATCCCTGTATCTACCCTGGTCTAGGAAGTGAGTGACATATCTGCTGTGAATGAAGGTTTTAAAAGTTAAAAATTGAGGTATTATCGAAACAACTCACTGGTTTCACCTGTCTTTGAAGTACCTCATACAAACCCCACTTCAAAAAAAAAAAAAAAAAAAAAAATCCAGACTTTTCCTTTAAGGGTGTACCAGAACCAAAGTAAAGGCAGCCTGTTAGAATGATTAATCTAGCTAAAAGTGGGCAAAATAAAGAGTTTCTAATCCTTGATCTGGGAAGTGAGTGACATCTGTTAGAACGAAGAGTTAAAAATTGAGATAGGGGTAAGTTGAGCCACCCCCTGTTGCTTGGAAATAGTCAAAGAAATTGATCATGTGACCAAATATGTAGGAGATGGGCATCAATTCATGGAGTCTGCGAAGGTTAGAAGCACATGGGTGAAGAGGTTAGACATTTATTTAAAAAAAAAACATTTTTCTCTCTTGAAAGTGAATTTAGTCTGTCTTAAGATTTATTAGAATTGTGTTCAGACCAAAAAAGATCATTTTAAATTTGGTTTATACGTCAATGGTGGTATCTATGAGCTACAACATGAGGTCAAAAACCTAGAATAAAAGTCCACCATTTTAGCTCAGAGGACTAATAAAGTCATCATAATAGTTCTGGGGCAACTGAGAAAGTAAAGGAGTATGTTTAGAGGATCAGAGTTTCAGTTCAGATTGTTGAAATGTTTTACTTTTTCTTTTCAAAAATACAGCTGTGAATGTTCTGAATCACTTTTTACAAAACAGCTTTTTAGCAGTTATATCCAATAATAATAATAATAAAAAGAATTATTGTCCCAGTTGAATAGTGTATAATAGATAAAAATACACATGAATGTGAAGAAGTGACTGTTATTTAGGGAGAGAGAAGGTGAGGGAGGGCTGGGGTAGAAGGGATACGGCTCAACTTACCCCATACACTGGGTAAGTTGACCATAGGAGGCCATTTCTTTTGCATGCTATATTATCAAGACAGTTCTGTTTACACTCATTCTGTTGGTTTGCAGGGATGAACAACATCCGGAAATATATGCAGATTCACTAGTTAGAGACAAAACTATGATTGACTTGATGTAGTGATCCAAAATATGAAAAATGGCTCATCTTACCCTACTCTCCCTCTATTATTTAAACAACTCACTGGTTTAAAAGATGACGTTATCATGAGTCAGGGTGGCGAAGACTTGTTTGAAAATGTGAGACTTTATGTGAGCTGGTCATGCTCGCTCTGAATGCGCCTTTAAGAGTAATAACTCCTCACACGTTTCTCAAGAACTCGGCTCGACGCGTCACATGATGTTAGAAGCTCTGCTATGCACAGGTGCTTGACGGACGATGTCGGAGTAGTTGTCTATTATTGTACAGTGTGAATGAATGAAGAGTGATTGAGTGCAGTACTCCACAGCACCTATATAAAGCACAAGTATTGCAATGTGAGGGCCAGAGAGAGAGAGAGAGGGAGAGGGAGAGAGAGAGAGAGAGGGTGAGAGAGCTGTAGAGGGCCTAAATGAGGTGAAGGGAAGTGGAAGTGTCCGGTAGGGGGTCTGCTGCTGCTGTGGGAAGAGAGCAAAGGAGGAAGGGGGGAGGAAGGAGAGTGTAGGGGGGGTGTCTGCTCTCTGCAGCGCCTGGGCCAATGCATGAGGGGTTTGGGGCTAAGTGTCTCATCAGCATCCAGCTCAGGTGCTGCCAGGGCCCACGCACTAACTATGCCCTGACTTGATTGTAATTGCCTGAATTCGACTCCCGCTGCTCCCTCCTGGCAATATCACAGGCACATTTAACTCCCGAGAGCCTGGGGGCCGTGCAGCGGGGCCACAGAGAGCAGCTGACGGCTGACTGTTGGAGCCTGTGGGCTGCAGGGGGATCCTCTCCTGTGCTGTCTGCTTTACAGGGGGAGGGTCACAGGTGCATGCACCCCCTTCTCTGGATGTTTGTGAACATGAAACAAGCGTCATATGTACTCTGACAGTGAAGGCATGAGCACGGCAGAGGTATTTGCTGTTTTTATGTCGCTCGCTGCTTGTCCTAGCGCTGTGCCTGTGCGAGCAAAGACTCAAGGAACTGTTGTTGACATATTAGGACATGTTAGTACATCACAGGGAATGAAACAGGGTGTTTGTGTCTTGGGGGGAAAAAACTTCAAATACACAACAAAAAAATATAGGTAGAATACAGTCACTTAACCTTAATTATAAGCAAAATAAGACTGGAACATTATCTGGAAAAGCAACCCTAAGTTATTCATGCAACTCCTGCTTTAGCTTCTTCGTTCTCTGGATGTTTGTGAACATGAAACATGTTGTGCACTCTGACAGTAAAGGCATGAGGACGGCAGAGGTATTTGCTGTTTTAATGTCGCTCCCTGCTTGTCCTGACTCAAGGAAGTGTTGTTGTCATATTAGGACATGTTAGTACATCACAGGAAATGAAATTGGGTGCTTCAAGTACTTCAAGAAAAAGAAAAAACTTCAAGTACACAACAAAAAAATTGGGCACCTTTTTTCGGTTTGATTCCTGACTCGTCTGGGCACAATAGAAGGATGCCATAATAGAGAGTAAAAATGACTGATATGACAGGGATGATTATAGGTGGAATGCAGTCAATTGACCTGAATTAGAAGCCAAATCAGGATGCAACATTATCTGGAAAACCAACCCTAAGTTATTCATGCAACTTCTGCTTTAGCTTCTTTTGTGTTCCTGCAAGTTTCCAGAGCTTTTAGACCTCGAATGATTAAACTTGATCTGTAAAATCTCCACACAATCTGTCCAAAAACCCTCTTTCCCCCCATCAGCCTGTGTTTTTCATGTTCAATCCAAAGCCAGGATATGCGCTTGATTGCCTCATATTGCCACCTACAGTACTTTCATTTTAGACACAGTTGTGAGAGTCATTATCATGCTGTAGTTATGTTAATGTTTTTTGTTTCTTTTTTTTTACTGGGTAGGGGGGTTGAAAATTGCTCAAATCTGCCGCTAAAAGAAGAACAAAACCCCTTCAGAAAAGCCAAGAATAATTGAATTAAAAAAACATGAGTCCACCATCAACAACTTCTTCTGTGGAGTACATTTTGTTTCTCTCCTTCAACAATGCATATGAATTTGGCTTCAAATGTGTAGTTATAGAACATTCGCGCTGCCACATCCCAGCCCTTTTGTTCGTGACATTTGTAAGTGACAAGGCCATGAATGAAGTACTTCCCTCTCACGCTAACAAAAGCCCTTATTCAAAAACAAGATGCAAAATTACCAGCAGAAATACATTTTCCACCAATAATACGTAATTTTGGAGTTTTGGGAACTGCAGCAGGGTTAACTTAAAAAAGTTAGCCTGTGGCGCTCCTCATCCTGTGATAATAGGGCTGTCTGTAATGAAGAACAGGCTTGTTGCCAACAGGTGGTCTCTTTAAAAGGACCAGAGCCACAGCACTCAGGATGGAGGGAAAAAAAACTGCCATGGCAAAATGTGTCAGAATCTAATGTTCTGCAGAGTGAAAAGCCTGTTTTCTGGCTTTTGTTCCCAGCTCGAGATTTAGCCTTGTTCCTCATTGTTCAGGGCACAAACGAGCAACAGTCTTTTTTGACACGGAGCCACAGATGAATAAAGACTGGAGCTGACTAGTCACAGGAAAGAGCTTTCTTTTTAGAGGGCCTGGAGCCCATTAAGAGTTTGTGAGATATGAATGGATATGAATCCTCTCCTTCGACCCCACCGAAAAAATACGAGCAGACCCCAAAGAAGACAAGGAACACCTCTGTGTCTTTTTTAGCGAGGTTCCCAAGGACGATGGGAGAAATCAGGCAGAGGGAGGAGTGATTGACAGGAAGGAATTACATCAAGTCAATGAGGAAGTGGCTCTTTGTTCGTTTGAAGGGTACATTATGCCCACCCAACCTTAGAGCACTAACCACTGACACTAATGTTGACATACTGACTTTAGTTTCTTTACTTTAATGAGAAGAAACTAATTACAGTGGTTACAGACTGATTTACTGTCACAAATAAACTTTAATTTTAGTTCTGTGTGATTTAGAGGATTGAATCTATAATGAGGCGTTGTAACAAAACAGACAGGATATAGATAATGAGATATTTACTGAACCACTTCACGCAGACGCTAGCCGCTGTGCAGAGCTCTATGGGCAGATGATGGGTGGATCTCGGCGAAATACAACCTTTTGTCACGCTCCATAATCCATTTGTTACACTCAGACCAATTTGTCCTCATTAACCCTCATAAGGGGACTGTGTCTGAGACAAAAGCTCCAGGGGGAACAATGAACAACCCCCCCCCCCACACAAAAACCCTCCTCATGTCCATCCACGTCCCTGCAGCTCAAGTGCTCCCCTTCCCAAAGCACTGTGGCCCCTCATCGCCCAGAAGGTCTGAGACGGGACAGAGCTGAACAAGCGAGGCACACCTGAATGAAAGGGTGAAAGAGAAAAACCCATTTCCGCATTAAGAATAAAATATCCTCTAAAAAAAAAAAATACAAATGCAAACGTCCTCTTTGGTACCCTGGTCACTCCATCAATCAACCCTGAAATAAATCCTGACATGACAAACAAAAAAGCAACTGCAAGAAAAGAGGAGAGGAGAGGACAGGAGCTTCCAAAGACGAGAGCAAGTGTTTTTCCACTTTTTTGTTTGCCACACCTGTTGCAAAATCATCTTAAAAAGTACAGGTTTTTTTGTCGGTTGCGAAAAAAAGGGTGAAATTTTGAAGTACCTTAAACTTCTAGTGGCTCTAAAAGACAGTCTGAGTCTATGCTTTCATCCAGTCAGCCATGACCTGGTCAAGGTAGCTGCTTCGAAGCACCTTTTTTATTGGCAGTCAATCAGTTTTTAAGAGTTTATGGTTTAGAAAAAGTGAGGATGTCATTGAGGATGTTGTTTTTATTTTCTCTCCTTCAAAACTCGGCTCAGAAAAAGACAGCCTTGGTCAGCGGGCGCATTTACTCAAGTATCCTACCTATACATGGTCATGACTCTATTGTGCCACTCTTTAGAGAGACATACAGCGCTTTTTACTCAGCATACATGATGGTATTTATGTACATTGATTACCTTAGCGAAAGTATGTATTTTCGGTGCTTTTATTAGAAATCGGAAACGTGTTAAGTGCAAAACAAGAGATGATTGCAGTTTGGACTGAAACTGAGATAGAGACCAGCAAACAGAGTTTAAACATTTCTCATTTTGATGCAGATTTTCTTATTTTAAAATCTATTTCGCTCATGCTTTTACTTTTTGTTGACAGGAAAACTGAAACTCTGGGGAGCGGTGAAGATCTGATTTCTGGTGAGACAAGTTGGGAACTTTTGTGAGGAACTTTTTGTTGTTTTGGCACCACAACAAGATGTTTTAATTCATCTATATTTTTCAGACTTTTTTGTCCTTATTAAAAAGAAACAGGAGATTTTGGGAGCAGAGAGCAAGCAGGAGGAGAACAAGTGACTGCTGTAACGAAGGCTGTCATCTCTGTACATTGTTTACTATCTTTTGGCGATCAAACACATCTGTTTCTGTGAGTATTTGTTTTGGAAAAAGTAAAAAAAAGAAAGTATATTGATCTTAAATAACCAACAACACATGAGCAGTAACAGAGTTCTGGCTCTGAAGCTGGAAAATCTAAAATAACTTGTCGTCCTATCTTCACCAGCAGCATGAATATACTCCACCACACTTTTATTTTATAGTCTAATTACTTTAACACCTGAAAGATTCTGTATTAACGATCAAACATCCTTGACTTCAGCTCAGAGAGATCGCAGAGGCTCACATTATCGCTTCAGCTGCGCGCTCGGTTAATGCCGCCTGTGAAAGCCTTTTCTAAACATGTCACAGTGTCAAACGCAGCGCTGTCCCATTTAATGCTGGTTTGTTGGGGCTGTGATATGTGTTCCAAACAGAGCTGCAGTAATCAGGTCATTTGTTATAATGACAACCATTAGAGGTGATCATCCTCACACAGCAGTCAGGCAGCAGAGAAATCAGGTGCTCTCGCAGGTTCGTTGCAATTACACACTCAAACAACATGAAAAGGCACACACATGAACACACACACACAAAATCCCAGCGTTAAGAAGTACAAGAATTAGCTTTATGTAATGTTTTCTCTGTTTGAGCAGGTTTATGAGGTTTAAGTATCTAAAAAAACAGTTTTTAAGAGGAACCTGTCTGGACTGTTTGCTTTTAATATATTTAACAGAATAATTTAAATTCAGTAGTTCAGTAAAATGGTAAATAGATGTGCTGTTTTCTACAACTGAAGGAATAACTGAGCTGATGTGTCGAGTTAATAATCAAATACAAAGTCTTGAAGGAGTTCATGAAAAGAAAAAGCCTTTATTTACAAAGCAGTCACATACAAAACTATGTAAAGGATGTAAATCTGCCTGAAACTGAGAAAAAACAAAGCTTGTACAAAGAAATTTAACGTGACACAAACAGACATGTTTGAGAGTCTCACATTGAAAACTCTGCTCCATATCCAGACCCGAATTCAGACGCCTTTTTCAGTAGTGCTGCTTTCGCTGCGCTGATCTTCTCGTCCAGCTCCGTCAGGCTGCACGCCTACATCAACAGTACAAAAACAAACTCATGAATAGATAGAGGAGAGGTAAAACTGTGCCTAAAAAATGCAGAGAGAAGAAAGAAAAACACAAACCTGAGCTGCTGTCGTCTTCGGTCGCTTGTGGAGATGACCCTAAAATAAAGAAAGCACATGCTATACCACTTAATTATAACTTTATTATAACCGAGAAGAGTTATAACACTGACAGGAACTTTTGCAGACATTCACCGAAGATTAATCGAGGGAAATAGTCTTTATTCATTTAAATTTAAGGTTATATTCTGACAAAACTTGAATACTACCCATCATTCAGCACTGCTTACAGTAACGTATTCTCAATCCACACCTTCGACTCTAACTGTAAAACCTGACAAGTTTCCCGTTTTTGTCAGGGAGCCTCCTCTGCAGTGTTAAAATGTTGTTCCTGGAATCGTGGGCCAACTGTGCACGGCTCTTCAGCAAACACCAAACTACAGTATTTTCAGAAATTGCCATAGAGGAGGGGGGAAAAAAAAAAAAAAGTGGTACTCGGAATATAAAAGACCCCATCAGTTTATTCAAAGACACTCGACATCTCTTGCTCTGCTCAAACAAACATGCAGTGAGTCAAAGGCAGATGGAGAGCGGCATACTCACAGAAGCAGCATGCTGTGCTCACAAATACCAGCGTGAAGAGACATGCAGCATCTTAAGCACACTCTCTCAGATAACCAAACACGCTGGACAGACTCCTTCAACATGGGAAATTAGAGTCTGTGTGACTCTGCTGAAGTATGTGAGGTGGAATATGGAGTCCAATAAATTACCTACCGAGATCTTTCGAGACCGTGCTTCTATAAAAAGTACGGTGTGGTGAAAAAGTAGTCATTTTTCAAGTGGGCTTTCTGCAGTGACCTCAAAGTTAGAGTGAACCTAACAAAACATGTTGCATATTTTACTCAAATTAAGTCAAGTGCAGCTCGAGGAGGGAGATGTGTTGGAGTATCTGTGCACATCAGGGGAAACTGCATTAGCATCACCCACAAACTCTTCTCTCCGGGCAGGTTTCATTTCAACAAGATTTGGCCTACAACAAAATACTAATCTGCTGCACACACACATTAAGTACACACACTACAGGAGAGCGTGTGAAACAGGCAAATAAAGGTAACTTTTGACTTTTGACTGAAAATACAGAATGGAGCGTTACCTGTGTAAGCTTAGACAACGGTTAGATAAGGAAGCGAAAGGATGCAGATACATAAATATATAGATGTAAATATAGATGTCGGCCTGTTTGTACCACTTCATACTGCAGTGAGGTTTCTGCAGTTTTACAGAGCTGTGTAGTTTATTTTTTTTAAAACCTACGAAGCACAAAGGGAATCTTTTTAAAGCATAGCACTCTTTGTTTGCCAGATCACGCAATATCTGCGCACTTATCTTCTGAGCTACAAGGGGAAATAACTCATTGAAATGCAGCAATTCACAAGCAAAAGCAAAGAGGAGGATAAATGCTCGAGAGTAAACACGGATGTTCACACTGCCTATTTAAAATATTGCGATAAATAGTCCTTTAACATCAAAAGTGCGTTCAAGAAGTTTGGAGAATATGGAAAATATGGTTAAAACTGATAAAACAGACGAAGGAAGAGGGCAGAAGAAGAATACACAGAGGAGGATTCAGAGTGCAGTTCATCCAAATGCAGGAAAAAGTTGATGAATACTGAGTCGACAGTTAACAGTCGTGTTAAATACTTCATTCTTATTGGTCAGAACCTTCTAATTGTCGTGTTATCAGCCTATTAGCACACAGTTACATCAGGAAAGAGTCAGGCACCTTTTGCCTCTGCCTGTTGACACTGTGGCACAAACCTAAGTTTCTGTCTCCAAAGATGGTGACAGTGACCGAACAGAAATGTGAGGGGAAGCCTGAAGAGCAAATGAGATTAAATAAACCGGCTAAGATTCTAGTTAATCCAGGATTTGCTCTCTGTAGCCGAGCCAAAAAAAACAAAACCAAAACAGGATCATGTTTTGAAGTATGTTTTTTTAAGGCAAGATGTCCTTGAGCAGCTTAAAGTAAGAGCTCCAGTTCAGATATATGTTATGAAGAAATACTAAGACTTCTACTCTTGATTTTTGCAAATTAATTTACGCAGATAATTTAAAATAGCACTAGAAATTCAAACACTAAAATTACATCCATTACTGAATGACCTGTGTATGAATCCTGACTGAGCACTGACTAATGATTATTAAGTGGCTTTCATGTGTCTACTTCAAAGCTACGAGCCTCACCGTGGACTGAAAGTACTCCGGTGAGAGTCCCTCCAACTCCAGGATACGATCCTCCAGCTTCTTTAGCCTGTGGTACACACTCAGTGGAACCGGGCCCGCTGAAAGAATGAAAACAGTCATCCAAAAACCCGGATTACTGGTCATTTTGCATGACAAATTCATCAAATGTAGGTTGGAGATTATGAGTGAGGATTGTGTTTAAGTGCTAAAGAGAATCGGGGGTCAGAGTTGAGGGTTGCTCTGTTGGGGTCACACAGTTTCTATCAGGTAAAAACTCATTAATTAAGTCTGACATGTCATCCTTTGAGTACATTGATTCTTCTTTCCAATTCAAAACCATTTTTATAAAACTGGAGTATCAGCGCCCTTCTCTGACCTGTTGGGAGTTTCAGATGTGTCTCAATGTTGTGTAGTCGCTCCTCTATGGCTGCATTTCCACAGTCTCTTGCCATCTGCCCCCTCTGCTGCTCTCCAGACTCTCCTTGGCCTCCCCGAGTCTGGGGCCCGTATGTGTTCACCACCCGCGTAACTACGAAGTCAAAGAAAAGAAAAGTACAGTCAGTACGAGCAGAAGCTGTAGGACGTTCTTTTATTTTTGTATTTTTGTGAATTAACAGACTTAATGAAGAATTGTACAGATGCGCAGAGAGGTTGTAGAGAAGTGGAGAGCTTGGATTAATTCACATTTATACATTTCATTGTGTCTAAATTTTCTCTAAGGTTTCACACCGCAAGACTTAGAATTTAAACTTTAACTTGGCTGCATTGTAAATGAAACTGGCAATTAAAGATCAGATTTATTTGTATTAATTCTAAGATTTTCTGGGCGATCAAAAAAAATACTCATTTGTCTGTCAAATGTTTGCTTACCTTTCACATGGCTTTTAAAACCTGGATATGGTGTGAAAACTGCATCTGTTCTGGCACAGCTGTTTTCTGCACAAGAAACCATATTTAAAATCCGAGTGAATAAAAATAACATACATGTGTAGCTTAAGTTGCAAATATCACCTTTAATATGTCTTGATTTTTACAACTAGTGACTCACACAGGCTTTGATTTTGAAAAAGGCCCTCTGTCTTGGGGTTTTTCTGGACAAAGCTGGTTGTGTTTTGAGGCCGAGTGTGTTAGCTACTTCAGCCCCACTCTTAGAGCAGTTCAGCCTGACCTCTCGCCTGTGGAAATCAGCTCTCTCCCAAACATTGGCAATCTGTGTGCAGGCTCCCTCTCAACCCTGCCCCCAACCTCTTACCCATTCTCACCCTGATTGCAGTCGATCACGTTGCAGAACTCGCGTACATTGTTTTCATTGATCTCCATCTGCTTGCGTTCCATAAATGCAGATATTCTCCGCTCAATCTGGGGTTCAAATGGAAAGACAGCACAGATAATAAGATGTGATGGACTGATGAGTTATTGATAGTTGTCAAGAATGCGATGAGATTGTTTTTGCCATCATAAGTATAATGATCTGGGGCAAACAGCACGTAGTAATTTACATGAAATGAGTACAAAACTATTCCAGGTAGCCAAAAAAAGTTGAATTGCTCATCATCATCATATGATGAATTATGAATACTGTTTGCTTGGCTACCAAAATAAATGCACAACAGAATGGGGCCTCTTGTCCTTCATCCACATGCAATCTCAGAGTAATGAGCATCCACTTCATAAACCATCAAGGACCTGGCCCTCTCTCAAAGCCCTCCAGCAATGTGGTCTGTTCTGCCCAACCACAGCACTAAAGAACCCCTTATTCTCTGCTGAGCTCGGCTTATCAGATCTCCATCAAGCATTCGCTTCACCGCGGCACGTCATGTGCACATCCTCGGGAGCAATTACTTATGATTATTCATTTGCTTGACAGAGAGTAAAGAGGGCTCCAAAAATGTCACTGCCTGAACAGCTGACAGATCTGCTGACTGGGACCAACCTCTGACTTCCTGGCTCTGATCTGAACCATGACGTCATCAGGTGCCGTCTTGCTTTCCGCAGCATCTGAGCCGCCGGGAGGATGCAGCTCCGGCAGCGCAGACGTCTGTTCCGCGAGTGACGATGAAGTGACTGCATTATTTGATGCAGCGCCTTTTGTAGCTGAAGCATCGGCATCCATCAGCGTCTTTATACTTTCTGAAACAGCCTGTGGGGAATAATCAGGAGGATAAAAACATGTTTATGAATCAAATGAGAGCAGAGAAAGGTGATATGACAAGATTTCTACAAACTATTTTTGACAAGAAGAGTTGAAATATTTTGAAAATGCTGAAATGAGAAATACTTCACCTGTAATTTCATGATATGCTCCTGTAAACATTTATAAACTTGAGCATTTGGAGACAAAGGAAGATCTACAGCATCAATGTTGACGTCTATCCTCAGAGCTTTGTCACTTAGTTTGAGCTGCAAGGGGAAAAGGATGGTTGCAAGCAATTCAGTTGATCAGATATAGACTTAAACGTTTAAAAAACACATATATGGTCCTTTAAATTAAAAGAGAAGCACAGCAGCTATTGGGAAGCTACTAGTAGGGGAGAGTGGGGTCAGATGAGGCATTTTTCTTATTTCGGATCACTACATCAGGTCAATCATAGTTTTGTCTCTAACTAGTGTATCTGCATATATTTCAAGATGTTGTGCATCCCTGCAGACCAACCGAATGAGTGTAAACATAACTGTCTTGATGATATAGCATGCCAAAAAAAGAAGTCTCCTATGGTCAACTTACCCCGTGTATGGGGTAAGTTGACCATAAGTTGACATCACCTTCTCATTTCCTTAATAACAGTCACTTCTTCACATTCATGTATTTTTATCTATTATATGCTATTCTACTGGTACAATTACTCTTTTTATTATTATTGCATATAACTGCTAAAAAGCTGTTTTATTAAAAGCTATTTTAACATGAGAATGTCTTTAAGTGATTCAGAACATTCACAGCTGTATTTTTGGAAAGAATAATAAATCAGCTCCAGCCCTCAAGATGAGGTAACAAGTGCAATATTACCAATGTTACTGCTGCTGTGTTGATTATTATATCCTTAACCTGTGCAATACATGTCCATATACATATAAAAAAATGCACATACATATATTAAAAAACACATGTATACATATTTATTCTTGATATGTCTTTTTAGTATTTATCTCTCTATTTTTTTCTTTTACATACGTTTTATTTTACTGTTCTGTAGAACTCTTGTCTTGTATATGTAGTGCCTCCTTTCTTACAACTATTTGTTCTTTTGCTACTACTATTTTTACTTGTCTATTGCACTGGAAAAGGAGAAGCTCTCCAATCTCGTTGTACTTTTAGTATGATGACAATAAAAGGACATTCTGGTGTAAAACATTTCAACAATCTGAACTGAAACTCTGATCCCCTCATCATACTCCTTTACCTTTACCCCAGACCTAGTATGATGACTGTATTAGTCCTCTAAGCTAAAATGGTGGACTTTTATGTTAGGTTTTTGACCTCATTGATGTATAAAACAAATTTAACATGATCTTTTTTGGTCTGAACACAATTCTAATGAAACTTATGACAGACTAAATTCACTTTCAAGGGTGAAAATTTTTTTTTTTTTTTTTTGTAAATAAATGTCTTACCCCTTCACCCATGTGCTTCTAATCTTCACACACTCCATGAATTGATGCCCATCTCCTAAATATTTGGTCACATGATCACTTTCTTTGACCATTTCAAGCAACAGGGGGTGGCTCAACTTACCCCACTCTCCCCTACTTGGAGGAGAGACCTAATGTTCACCTCAGATGATACTAATGTTTGGAAAAGAAAAGTTTAGTGTAAAGTATCTTGAAATAAGATGTATAATTGGACCTTTTGTATCAGTGTAGCTTATATAAAGTGTGTTGAAATAGACCAAACTCCCTGCAGAAAACATTAAAGTTTAAGAAAGCGTAATGACTTTAAAATCTACTTCTTGAACACAGCAACACGAGTGGGTATAATAGGTTAATTTCCACCCTCTGTAGTTGAAGGTAGAGTTTGTTATGTGTGCCTAACAACGACTAAAGCGCGAGGCAGCTGAGCAGTGATGCTAAAAACATTAGCACGAAGGCTAACCACCAACACATACGAACAGAAGAGTCACGCGGGGCTACAGGACTCGAACCACGTCCACCAACCTCTCTGCCGAAGTCTGAGAAATGCCTCAGTACCGCACACACGCACTCCCTGTAGCTCGACATTTTGCTGGATACACCGGGAGCTGGAGGACCATCACTCGGCTTCATTGTCTCCGCCATTGTGGAACAGAACGCTGCCCGCCGATTGGCTGCAAAAAAGGAGACCGCGTGCGAGCAGATGACGAGAGCGCGCACACGTGGCGTGAACCCGCAACCGCGCGGCTTAACAAGAAAACAACAAATGAGTGTAAACCTTATAAAAAAATCATTGTTATCTCAAAAAAAATAACAAAAAATAATAAAATATTTAAGATAAATTTGCATTATTTAGCTTTAGCTTCTTTATAGATGCGTCAATGTTATGAGTGTTGCCGTTTTTAAATTGTAAAGATACTGAAAATATTTTCCAAATAGCTTTTTCTCGAAATTTAAGCATTAATATATCTTCTCTTTAGTGTGTGTAAATGGCTAAATCTCTTTCCAGACAATAATAAAGTCGAAATAAAATATAATTAATTAGAAATCCTACCAAAACAAATTCTTAAAGTAAGCATATCAACAATAAATTAATTAAAAAAATTAAAGAATTCTGTTCTCAAGTTGTAAGTGGAATAAAATGACAAATATTACATCATGGATCAGTAAAATTTGCTTTCTAATAGTTTAAGTTGGTCAGTGGTGTGAGCTTTCATGTCCAAAAAACTGTTTATTTAGTCACATTAAAATAGGTAAATACTCAATTATTCTTGGTTACTTTTTAAGTCATGTTATGAAATTTATTTAGCTATTATTTCTGTCTTTGTTTTAAGTTTGTATTTTCCTACATTATATTAGAAGGTGTTTTATAAGCTTGCATTTCCCTTTGGTTATTCATAAGATGTAAAAGGTAAAACTAAATGCACTGTACGGCAGGCACTGTGTATTAAACAGAATGCACTTTTTTTTTTTGCACCAGATAAAAGTTGCATGAATCCTATACTGATTGTAGCTCAAAGTTGATCATTTAATGCAAAATGGTTTTAGTAATTAGTGAAAATTATGATGAATGAAGCTCAAAGAGAAAATCATTTTCTGCCTTTATGAGTATAATTATGCAGATTAATCTACATTAACCGCTTTGTACGCCTTATAGGTTGAATCTAAATTACATTACATTGTTCTTCAGAATTTTCCCTCTGATTTTTACCTGCAGCCGTGAGAAACAACCGGCTACCTGCAGACTCCACTGGCTTAAATGTGAGATCAGTAGCTGCATTTAACTGTATTTTCCATCAATTACTTCTCAAACAGGAGGAAGAATGGTCATTCAATTATAGGAACATTGTCCCTCAGACCCGGCAGACTGTGCAGCAGGGCATTGGGATGGGAACCTGGCGACAATGGCGTATTTTTCTGAGCTGAGTGACTGTGGGAAAATCTCCCTCCTCTATTCAGACATTTTTCCTTCTTTTCATATAATGAGGAGAGAGACTGATGAAGGCAACAACAGAAAAAGAACAATTATAGGCAATGAGAAAGCACAACCACTCAGAGCTGAATAATGCTCTCTAGCAGGGTTAATCATTTTAGGAAGGGGTCTGAAGACAAGCCTTTTTACTTTAATTCATCTCTGGGGTGATATTTTTTCCCCCTGAAACAGGAAGGGAACTGTAACACTTGACATGGTTTGACATGCTGAGCCATTGCTGAATGTTCCCACACAGCAAGAGCTCAGAAATTAAAAAACTGCTCACTTAATTTGCCTGGCTGCAGAGCAGAGAGGTGTGATTATATATTTTTTTTCTTTAAACAGAAAATAATTTTAATTGGAGGTGCTTAGCTTAGCCCAGGAACTCTATGATATTTAACGTTTGGCCTCGTGATATATTTTACAAACCACGTTGGAGAAAAGTTTGATCTGAATGTTTTTATGTTTTCTTACATTTCAGGTAGTCTCTAAAAGCAGGTAAACGTATTAGAAGTAACTCTTTTTTGCACAGGGGGTCGTGTATGAAGTGTATTATTTTATTAGATTATTATTATTATTGTCAGATTTCAAGTTTTATTATCCTGCTAAATCTGTATTATGGATTTTTTTTTTGGTGTTTATTCTTGGGATTGGAAGTAAATGGAGTGGGGTAATCAAAAATTTGGAAGAAAAGGATCTCAAAACTGAAATCCCATCTCATAATGTTGCAAGATGATACAGAAATCCACACTTCCAAACTCATAAAACGACTTTTTCCGACAGAAAAATTCACATTTTCTTTCATAAGATGCTTTAAAACAGTGAAAAATATGAACAAAGGAAAAAATGCAACACAAAAATACAACATTCACCCCGAAAACTATCTGCTTGGCATGATTTTTCCATAAGTGCATAACCTCAAAGTCTTTTTCTTCTAAAGTTAAATAGGGAGTTGTTACAAAGATACCTTGTTAGGTTGAAAATTCCTCTTTGGCTCACAAGAATGCGCTGTTAGCAGAGAGAGAGGGAGTCTGTGTTGTGGAGGAGACATGGTTCTGTGGTGGTGGTGGTGAAGGAGTAGGTGGTGGTGGAGGAGGAGGAGGAGGGGAGTGAGTGAAGAGGGATTGTTGCTGCCTCTTGCCATAGTCACATCAGCCACCTGCAGGAAAGTAACAAGGTCTGCTTTTGAGCCTGTCTGCTCCACGGTCGGCAGATGATGTTGACAGAGCATGAGACAGAGCAAAGGCCAGACGGGAGAGTCGGAAGAAAGAGGGCGCACAATGTGGAGAGGCAAGTGGATTGCGGCGGGAAGGTTTTGTCTCATTTAACTGAGAGGGGAATAATTAAATGTGTTCCCTTTTCTAGGACTGAGCTCTTTACTGCAGACGAACATGAAGAAATATTACTCTTTATAACCAGCAACTTAAACAATCAGCTCTTTCTCTGAAAGGAGAGCCAACTGAAAAAGAAAAATGCTGTAGTGGATGAAAATTAATACATAATTATAAGCTCAGTTATTTCATTATTGATCTCTGAATCCATGCCTATTTCTCTGTGAGGTTGTAGAAAGAAACAGCATCCCAAACTAGACATTAACATGCTGAATTTCTAAGGGATTGAGATGTTTTCTCTTATAAGTAGACAAAAGTAAAGAAAGAGAGACTGAGACTAAGTTTGCAGGTCAGCAAGGGGCATTATAAGGTTTGTAAGTTTTATAAAAGTTCATATACAAGTAGTTGAAACATTCATTTATGATACCACAAGGCTTATCCTCGGGGAACAGTGAACCCAAGTTTAGATTAAGGAGATTCATTCCCATCGTTTTTCTGAACAGACGAGACATTTTTACAAGAAATATGAATTTGCTGAACATATTTTTAAGTGGCTGAACAAAGGAGATCATCAAAAACACTTGCATGTGAAGTGCAAACTTCATACACCAAAGTTTATGTCGTATGAGAGGGGGAACAATACGCACCAAATCATGCCAGCGCCGGGAATCGATCGCGTGACCACCGCAACGAAGGCTGTGTACAGAGGGCAGCCTTTGTACACGGGGCGGCCTTCTCCTACTCTGCTCCATGTATTCAAGTAACACTTGAACCCAGACAAATGGTGAGCTCACATAAACTCCAATAAGAGCTTTATCCTGAGTGAGATAATGGTTCATCACAAAACTTTAGTAAAATGTAAAAGTTTGAGATCGACACTTTTGCAGCATTTTATTCAGCGCTTGTTGTCTTAGAGTAGAAATCAGATAACTTGATTGAAACGCCAAGAATCAGCCTCAGGAAACCATGAAAACCCATACAAACTGTCTCTTCAGTCGTTGTACAAAGAGGTGGACCAACTGACCAACAGCTGACGGACTAAAACTGCTGAGTGTTTCAAAAAGCTGCTGCTGGCGTTTCCTCAAACTGACCAAATTCAGGCAAAAGAGAAAAAATGCTGAGACTGTTTTCACTGCTCTCAGAGAGGCAAAACTCTCTCTGAGCTAATGTGATGGGGAAAACACCACACTCCTGTGCAATGCAGTCTCCTCTAAAAGTTAGCCACAAGGGTAGGCAGGCAGGTTATTGCTTTAAGCCACTTCTAACTGTGAAGAGCATTAATGATATGGACAAAGCGCTAAGGATCCTCATAAAGTTATTAACTGGCTTTTACTACAGCACACTGCTGTTCCTGCCACATTTCCAATCAGGAAAAGGAAGATGAACAGCCATCAGCACTTCAGCCTTTACATGTGCAAGCGCTTAATCAGCTTAATACAGGTTCACTTTCACATATGGAGCGACTGAAGAGGTTTCTGGCCCGACCTGTGTTCAGATGGTTTTCCATTACAGGCCTTTGATTGCCTGTGAATCATGTTTTTTTTTTTCTTCTTTTTTTTGTAGTTGCTTCATATCTGACACATCACAGGACCGGCAAAATTGCAAAGCTGGTGAGATAACAGAAGTCAGCACCTGTGAGGATTGGAGAGAAGCTCATTGAAAGGCCCATTTGATAGCATTTGCTAGCCGCCATCAGCAGATGAAGCCGAGCGTTTACTCGTCTTGGTCGCTCAAAAGCTGGGGTTCAAAGTTCATTACTGACCTCAGAAAAAGAGGCCATGAAACATCTCAAATCTCAAACGAGCAAAGCCACAACATCATGAATGAGGGTATAAGTCCTGCTGCATCTAAAGTCTCTCTAGTGGGGAATATAGTAAATTTTATTGTTAGGTTAGATGCAACATCAGCAGGTTGGTTAGGAAATATGTTTACTTGCAGATCCCTGTATGCATGTTTCACTTGTCTTTGTGTTTTGATTGGGGAACCATCATAAAGTGGTGAAATGAAAATGCTTCATCATTTATTTCACTGCAAGGTCTTCTGGGTCTGCATATACCCATGTCCCCTGAAGCTGCAGTGACTGTTACAATGATCATATTTATTTATCTATTAGAGGACTCTTTTTTGTTTGGGTTTTTTAACTAGCAAAAATTTACTTTTTTTCATCAACGTTTAAAAAACGTTGGTGATCCCAGGCAGGGGCACTTCCAGGGGGTGGCCATGGCCCTCAAAATGTGATTGGCCATCCCAGTGCCTGTCTTCAAATCCCGAATTATCATCGGCTATTTTTTGCTTCGTCTTTGGGCTGTGTTAGATAACTTTTCTATAGGTAAATTTGTCCCCTATCATTTTGTCATATCTTTGGATTACGATTCTTTAAGTTTTAAA